TTAGCGATGATAACCAAACATGCCTGCCTTCTATGGACGGGGCATACTTCACGCGATTCTAGTCGCGATGCGATTTGGCAAACCTCCAACTGCTATAATCATCGTACACGCATCTTGAATGTACGAAAGATAGAGCAGTTTGTTGATCTACGGAACTTGTACATACTACACTTTAGTCTGTGAATGTTGAATTCAGACATCTGGCGATTTGCCAGACCGCGTGGCGATTGAAATTGCGTGAAGTATGCTCGAGACTCTTGATTCAATTAAAGGGCTAAGATTTACTTCTATATGTCTGCCTGTATGTCTGTCTGTCACGAAATTCGTCGATTTGCAGTCAGGACTTTGGGCCAAAATTCGCATGACGCGGGTTACCAGCATGTATAAGCTATTTCAATTGCAGCGTCGGGTTCATCAGCGGTTTGGGTCCCGCGCGGCTGCCTCGCTCTTAGGCTTGCACCACGTTCGCCAACGTGTTCTCTAAACATTTTACCATGCTCAATATCGATTAAAGCCCAACTCTGACCTTTTTTCCCGCGCTCAGGCAAAAAAATGATCAGACTGCATGTTTGCTAATGCAGTTCACGGCCCAGGCGAGGCGCGGCGGAGGAACCGAGCTGCTGGTGCACCCGACATGCACTTGAAAAATCCTGTAGGTTCACCATGCAAGACTTCGAGCGGATCCGATGCATCTTACTAGGGTGAGTCAAAAGTAATGAGAACATCGCATCTCAATTTGAACCTTTTCTCAAATCAGGTAGAATGTGTATAGGCAAGTGTTCTAAGCGGTGTCCGACACGAATTTTCTTTCTCTTTTCGACAGCTATAATTTTCAACCAAATCACTTCTTAATTGCTGAAATATTTGCAGAAGTTTTGAATCCATAGCGTATTCCGTTCAAAATCTATGGTTTTTTCAACTTGTCAAAAAATTCTAGATTGTGGTAATTTGAAGCGGTAAACCTTGGTTAAAAATTTATTAAAAAGTTTATTATCAAACCTTGCAAAGTCAAGGTTTGATAATAAACTATATTCGAAGCTCTCAACTTCGAAAGATTTTGCAAGGTTTAACACATTTTTGTTCTGAGCCATTTTAAAAATTTGGGGTTTTTGGAAAAATGATTTTAAAAGGCCTCAAAATGCTCGTTTCGAAATACCCAAATAGTGGTTTGCATTAAGCAGGACCTGCTTTGTCTTTATGTTGTCGAATTTGTTCGAAAACCTCAAATTGAAAATTCTGAGGATTAGCTAAACTCAATCAAAGCAAAAATGACGGGTTCAAAATTTGGGAAATTTTTTCGACAACTAAGAAGTCAACTGGGCCGTTGAGCATACAGCTGAAAAGAGAAAGAAAAGTAGGTTTTGTGCAATGTAGGGTACTCTTCTATCGCTATTCTATGCGAGCTGCGGAAAGTTCGAAATGAGGAGCCAAAAGCTGTCGTTACTTTTGACTCATCCTAGTACATTTTGCACGTCAAGCGGATTTACAGCGGGTCTTCGAGCTCGCAAAATTGGGCTCTCAACTAGACTTTTTCTAAACTCATCATTTCCTTGACATATTAGGTTGGCTAGAAAATAAGTTCGGTCGTTTTTAGCGGTTTGTAAAATTGTCTCAAATCAGTTTTAGTGTGTATATGTGGTACCACTGGAAAGAGCAAATCAATGAGAATCGGATGGTTGACTCTGTTTTCTCCAAAATAAATTTTGTGATAATGAAATGGTGAAGGAAAGGAAACTGGTCAGATTTTTTCCTCAAAATTTCGGGAAATCACGCTCCAAAAACGAACTGAAATCAGGTGTGAAGTGTAGATTCGCTACCCACACAACAAATTTTTGAATTTCCAACCATTTGCATGGCCATAGATGGCCAAATTCGAGTTATCTGGAATGCTCAAAATTTGACCTTCACACGCAAATGCCTGGAAATTTTCACAATTTTGACTGCAGAAATTCAGAAACAGCAAGTCACAATCTCTGTTGTGGTTCGCCACCTAGCCAGAGGCTGTATGTACCCAGCCACCAAATTACACGTCTGTGTACTCATTGCAGGCTGAGAACGAAAGCTAGAATGTCAAAAAAGCGATTTTTTAGGAGTCCGACCATATAAGGTTATAACTGTCATTTGTTGGTAACATAAATTTTCGACTATTCAATATTCGAAAGTAGAGGCTTGAGGCTATCTTCTCACGAAAAAATCTTAGCTAAATAGCTCTTACGTGAATTGTTATGAAGCTCTGAATTTGCATGTCAAAACGAATTTATTTATTAGCCAACCTAATAATATACAAACCATCGGCTTTAGCCCAACAGGTACTCATAAATTGTGTTTTGCGTAGATTGAGCCAAAAACGGTCAGTGGAGTAAATCATCAGATTTTCAACTTCCTATCTAAGAAACCGAAAAGTTTGTGATATGTGGCTCACGGTGGTTATTGTCCATCATGGCGACCAGCGAGCCACAGTATGAATATAGTAGTTTATTGGCTTTCGCATTATTCTAATGAGAGCATTTCTAGTCAAAATAGACGGTCTGGAAGTATTGCAAAATTTCTTAGATTTTATCGTGCTCTCCTTATGATAGCTAAAAACATGCTCGTCTCAACAGTTGGATTTGTCAAGTCAAATTTTGATCTGTAGTTAGTTTTGCAAGTCCAGTTCCTTCAAGACGCATTGCTCTGTCGCATTTCACAACAGAATTTTTCTCTTATCACTCTTCCAAGTAGACTTCCCCAAAAGTTTTGTGCTTTATATTAGGTTGTCAAGAAAATAGTGTCGTTTTTTGGTTTTTTCGGGTAAAATTGATATTACTTGAGAACTATAGCATATCCGACGCCAAAATTTTACGGTTAAAGTTACGAAGTTTTGTAGAATATAAAGGCATATGTGGGAGGGGTGCAGTACTACTGGGGGCGGAGTCTGCCATTTTCTATTTTTTAATTTTTTCTTGGTTTTTAAGCTTGGAAGAAATATAGCGTACCTATGGATAAGTGCATGTGTCTTTTACATGCAGGAGCAAGTGAGAGGTTTGCAGAAATTTCTAGGGCGAAAATCCAATTTTTTGGCATCACGAGCTGCTCGTATGTTTTGGCTCTGAACTTTTGTAAACGACAAGTTCTACCGATGTTCGGAAGTCATCTTGTAGAGCTTCCTTTGCTCTATCGAAGGGTACCCCTCACATATTTTTTGGATTTGTCTCATGGCTTTGCTATAAAAAACGACATTATTTTCTTGACAACCTAATAACTGATACTTTTGGTAGATTTCAGACAATTTTTTGTGAAACTTTTAATGTTCATGGGATCCTCGGTTTCCACGCTTGAGCATCGTCACAAGTACTTTATTTAATCTAATATCCTACAAACATTGCTTCAGTGTGATGCAAATCGTAACGTGGATAGTCGCGGTATTCGTATTCTGTCCCGCAAAAGCGGTCAGTCTAATTTCTCAACGTCATTTTCCAAAATGTGCCAGCAACGTCAATGAGTGACGAGTGCAGATCCAAAAAAAACTTTTTATTTATTTTGTGCTGGCTGCAAGAATGCTTAACAGTTCTCATTTTTGCTTATAGTTAGATCCACTTCTGTACAAAAAATATTCTAGTAGATTTATTAGAATTTGCTCGGTTTATGTAATGTTCTTTGTTTATACACTTTGTACAAAATTCATAGTGCTTCCAAGAAGGCCAACCATTATCTTTCCATTCGACTTTTGCAGCAATTTACTTCCATACTTGGCTGTATTCATGGTGTATGCATCTTTGAAACATTTGAATACGTCCTCTGCTCCACAAGAATTTACAGTATTATATACCTATTGACTATTATTCCTCATACATTCTACTTTTGTGCAAACTGTTTCACCGTTGGTCTGTAAAAGCCAAATGGGCGAAAGTCATGAAAATTTGCCGAGGTTTCACCACTTGGTCCTGCACCGTAAACACTTCAGTACCTGAGATCTCGGGATTACCCATGTGATCTTTTTGTTGAAAGGCTATCCTTACCATAGCATGGCCGTCCCTACATTGGCTCCTTTTGTGATCTGATCCCAATCGTAGGCGTTTGTATAAATTCCGACGGCAATACCATAGGACTGGAAATTGGTTTGTTCAGGAGTTTTTCGAAAAATATAACATTATAAATTTTACATTATCTGCCATAATTGAACCTTTTCGTACATTTTTTTGAGTAGTTCACATCTTCGCTAAGTTTTGAAAAAGAAGGGGATTAGCATCTAAAAAATTTTTTATCTCTCGTTTATTATCCAGTTTTCAATCCAGTTTTCAAATGCACTATATCAACTTTGATTTTTCGCGGCAACGATGATGCACTGCAAAACAGTGACGTAGAGATAACCCACTACTTTTTTATTACCTCAAAATCTCCAATACTTGATTTTTCTATCTGGTCAGCACAATATTTTCTTGCTATATTTTTTTACTATCAGGTTGTCGGAAATGTTTATTGGTAAACAATTTTTTTGCAAGTAGCTAGAGACATCAACATCAATCTCCCAAAAAAAATTCAGTCCATTCATATCTTCCATGCACTTGTCCACCTATGACACTGATAAGGAAATGTATAAAATAGGCAGAATGGAGCGAATGAGTCAGAGCATTTTGGCTCTTACACAAATACTCAAACAAAAGGTTTGCATTCACATTTGAATTTTCTTACTAGCTGATCTAATTAGGGGACCTTTTTAGCTATGTTTACCTTTTCATTTTTCCACTAATTATTGTCTGCTGCTATGCTAAAGCCATCGTTCAGGAGCCAGTTCTGGTACGTTGTGCTAGGTATTATATACGAAATACCTTTCAAAAATCTGCCGCTTTTGAGCTTAGCATAACATACGTTTTTATAGGCTGCTAACCAACTATGGGTATGCCGTAGATCTCGATCATCCGTTAAAAGTTTCTACTTTTCTTTGTTTAAAAAAATCCGGTTATTCTGCAATCATTAATAAGGTGAAGATACCTTTTTTGAACCTGCAATTTCATAACTGAATGCTTAATAGAGCGTACGATCCCGCAGATAATGGCAAATTTGATGTCAATGCTGTCAGCAACATTCGCAACGCTAATCAAGGTGAGCACTCATACGAGTTTTGAAAAGCAATGGTTTAATCCTAATGTTCAAGCCGGCCTTGGAACAGAAGTGTTTATGACACCATTTCCTCGTTCAAACAAAAAGGGTGGAGAGCAGTTTAGAGAACTTTATGAGGGACTGAAGGATGGAAAAATTGACGTGAGGATGGTCTGGTTGCAGGTAAGCTGCCCTCAACTACGTTCTTCTCAATAAAGTAATTGTACAATGAATAAGTTTCAGGTAACCTCGCATGTTAATTGGAGACCCAACAGCAATGAAAATATTTACTTCCTCAATGACATCAAAGCCATGGCTATGGTACAGAAAATTAGAAGATTTACTTCAAATTTCCAAAGATGAAATTTCATGTCCTAGTGCTATGCCGTCAGAATTGGTTTCTACAACAATGTTTACGACTGGAATCAGATCGCCAAGGGAGCTACGGTCGAGAGAGCTATGCTATGGTGGGTTGCTTGAATTAGGAAAGATTGAGAAATTCATCATTTATATGCAAAATTTAGGTGCTGGAATGTTAATGGTGGAGGACCTAGCGGTGGGACCCCTGCCAACTTTGACGACTTCCTCCATTCTGAATTCACGAAACCGACGATAAAACAACTTGGACAAATGGAACACGCATGTGGAGTCACAGTCAACAAGTAAAAGATTTCCTCCAAAGAATGAAAGTCAAGCGGAATGATGAAGTTTTCAGGGACATCTACTCATTGGAAAAGTCAAAGCACTCCTTGCCGAATGAAAGAACACTAGAATGATGAACTAGTCGTTGGCAAGCTACGGCATCCACTTACGGGATCATTATCAGTTGCATGAGGATACAAATGCAGAGAAAAGGACTGCCAGAGAAAAAATGCATCATAGACATGTCATAATACACACTGAATAAAGATGATCTGACTCTACATGTGATGTATGATATCTATTTCCAAGCATTTTCACCATGAAAGGTTTCATCGATTTAATCAACGATGTATTAGGGTGAACGGTAAAAAATGGGACAACTTGAGAATAATTGCAAATTTCTCAAGGAAGAAAAGTGACTGAACTTTCCAATTTTGACGGATATTAGAATAAATTATTCTTTTTCAGATAGTACCTATATAAGGTCATTTAAATAATTGATAATTTTTATACTTGCTAAAATGCAAAGTTAGTTACTTCGAGAAATTATGAAGTTTGAGCAGTATCGGCGCAGTGAAACATGTGAGACCACCCAAAGTACCACTGCTGGAGTGAGTGGTGGGACAGTCACCAAACCCACGACGGCTTGGTGGCTTTAACCCTCAATGTCAGGAGATATGCCCATTAACAGCTTCGAGAACAAAGATACGCGTTATTCAATTCTTTGCAGGTAAACGCATGATTTCTGGGTATCATCTGATAGAGCTTTTTACGCTCTATCCATCCATATGCAGCTTACTTCAGATTTTATCTATCTTCGGAAAATATGGGGCAAAACATGATTTTTTGGTTTTTTGTTGCGCCAAAAATAGCTATTTTTCAGGTTTTTTCGATTTTTTTCTGAAATTGAGAAGAAATCTTATGCATTTAACGTATAGTTCGAAAGAGCATGAAGAGCTCTTTCGAATGGTATGTCATTTGCTTTACGACTTTACGGTACAACAGCGCAAGGTTGAGGATTGTCCAAAAAACCCTGTTCGAGTTCTTCACGGCGCCACGTGTAGGGTAGTGGAAGAGGAGCGTTAACGCGTTGTCGGAATAATAAGCGAAGGTCGCCCATGTAAGCGACGTTTAAGTTGCTGCTTAATTGCTGTTGCCAGAAACAAAAAATTCCAAAATGAAATGAAAATCAAGCTGTCCCATTTTTTACCGTTTACCCTAATAGTTGAACTTAACAGCAGAGTTGAGCAAGAGGTCAGGCTTTCGAAAACGACTCCCCTTCCCTACTCTGAAAGCCCCAAACGACCCCATTCTTCCTCCTTTTCACCTCCAGGACCTCAGAGAGCAACATCCTGAAGGACACCATCTTTTTCTAAAGAGTTTTTGGATTTTCAAAGTCTTTACTCCCGATTTTCTGTGAATTACCCTTTACAATCACACGTAATTTGACGGCTGATTTTTATCTGAATGGGTCTATTGCAAGAATCATAATTTCTTTTAGGCTGGGGTGTTTGGCTCCAAATTTTCGTAGCAAGAAGGAGCTATGAGCTCAACATTCATACCAGGAATGAAGCAATTTCTGGATTTCAAGGCATGTTAAGGGGGTCAGGCGCAACCCCTCAAAAGCTCAAGCGGCGTGAGCCTTTGATGGGTTGCCCTGACTCGGTTAACCTTATTACCGAAGAATCTTTTCCATCCTAATTTTATGTGATCCGCTAGCACAAGCGTCGGAGAGTCTACTGTAGGTGTTTGAGCTTACTTGGACTTGTTCCGGCTTTGTGGTGATTGGTAGAGTTGAAGTACTTAAGGTGGAAAACGCGGTGATTGAATTTTGGCAGCACTTCCTGTCCAACTTTTTGAAAACGATAGAAGGTAAGGTCCAATTTCTACCATAGACTGATAAAGAGTATTACGCTAATTTCACGCGTACAAGGCGCGGGGGATATTTTTCAAAAATCGATCAGCCCAAACACGTCAAAGGACTTCGCGAACGAAAAACTATATACAGCGCTGTATATTGCTTGAGAGTATCGTGCGGCATAAGTCTCGTTTTCCGAAACACAACGACGGGGCTGAGCGGTACGTTTGAAAAATTGAAGAAAGTGCGCCTTGTACGCGTGAAATTAGGGTACTTCGTTTTGAGCGCAAGAAAGCAGACTTGTTTTACTATCTTGACCAAGTTAATCATGTCTGAAAATCACGCTTCCTGGAGTTAGGAAACACTAGAAAATGTGATAGGTGGTGGTTTGTAGAGCTCGTATAATTCGGCATGCATGCTGATTACGGGAGTCTTACCCAATTTATACAGCAAGCCTCTTTGGTGACCCTACCGTTGGCACAAACTTCGTCAGTGGAGTTGACCAATACGCAGTTAACGACAGTCAATTTGTTTCTGGTGGAATGATATTCACTGGTTTATGCAGCGTTCTTCTTCTTCACCTCAATCGCAGCATCCCCCCCCCCATTTTGCGAACAAATTCAATTTGATTACGACCCCTTTCCCTCAGTCTTACCACGACCCCCAGGTCGGGGCGCGCCTGACTCAGCTCAGCCCTGACTATAGCTTCCCCTTTCCAGACCTTGCCCCTTTTTTCATACGCGCCTTAACTGACGTTATTGACTTCAACAGCAAAAAAAACCCGCTATTTTATTGAGGAGGGTTTTACTACCTTCTGTCAGAAGCACAAACAAAACAACAATGCAAGATTTATTGAGGTTCAAGACCGTTCTCCCTTCGACGGTAACCAGTTCCTTCAGATGCCAACAATCAGCACACCGTTCACTACTCTAGAAACCGTGAAGAGAGTCTTTGCAGCTGTGTTGTAGACGTCCCTAAGTTGGAGTTAGGTAAACTAGGGTTTCCTGTTGGGACTTTCCTTTCGAAAGAATTACCTATTCGCAACGACTCCACAGATGCTCTCCGACTGTCCGAATTGTTTCACCATTGCCTGCTTGAATCCTCCGAATGCACGGAAGTCGTTGAAGTTAGCTGGTGTTTCGCCACTTGGTCCAGCTCCATTAATGTTCCAGTACCTGAAGATGGGTTAAAATCTTTTGTTGAACTGTCAGACCTTTGCAACCGCTTGCCAAAGCGGAATGTTGGGATCCGTTACTGGTGTGTTCTTTGTAATCTGATTCCAGTCATACACACTGGTGTAGTATCCGATCTTGATACCGTAGGACTAGAAAAAGAGTATGAAAATACTTGACAGGAACGGAGGACGCGATCAGAGTTGCCTAAGTGCCAGTGCCGTGCCAACGCCGTGCCAGCGATTGATTTTCGTCGATGCTGGTACGGCGCTGGAACGACTCTGCACTGAAGCTACTCTAAATGCAACCTTAGAAGAAAGAGAATTACAATTGCAGTTTTGGCGATGTCATTGAGGAAAGCAATGTTCTTCTTTGAGTCAGTGCCCCAGTTCACAGGTGATGTGACCTTAAAAATGAATGCGCCCTATTTTCCGCTAAATATTTTACTTTCAATGATTCTTACCTGTACCCAGACGGTTTTCACATTGATGTTAGCCTTTTTGAGGCCATCATACATCTCCTTGAACTGAACAGCACCTGTCTTTGTCGATTTAGGCTGTGGTGTCATGAAGACCTCAGTTCCTAGCCCAGCTAAATTTGAATAATTTTCATTATCCATTTGATTCGTGTGAGCATTTGAGCACTAACTCGAATAGGCGTTGCGAATGTTGTTGGGAGCGTTTGCATCGAATAGTCCGCTACCCTGCGGGTTATAAGCCCTAGAGTGAAAAATTAGGAATGGATTCTTGGCTCAGATAGAAAATTACCTGATAAATACAGCGCTATAGCCAGACTTCTTGAAGCAGTTGAAAGTGCTTGCTGTCATTGCTTTGTCGATATCGACAGCATATGCATAGTTGACGGCTGCTGACTGAAAAATTTAAGTTTTTTTTGTTGTAAAAAACGTTTTGAAGCTTTCATCAGGTCTCTAGCTGACAACAGTACTCTTTGATCAAACGGGATTGGCGGCTGGAAGGCAACGCTCGCACCCGCGACGCAGCCTGCGTCTCTCTAGCGGACGTGCTCTCTTATTATTTTTTAACCCTGATTAGGCCTCGAAACCCCGCCTTCCAGTCGCCAACTTCGTTGAGTCAAAGGGTAATTATTGGTTTGTTGAAATCTACAATTGGTGGACTGCAAATTTTCTACAAGCTAACTCACCGCTGGTTGGATGAACACAGCCAAAAGGGCTGGTAGAATGAAGAGAAGCATGGTTATGAAAAGTTTCTGGAACTTTCTGTGTGTAACTCAAAAGGTTTGAGAAAATTGTTTTGTGACTAACCTAAACTAGGCAGAAGCTGGCTGCGCTGCCTGAACTGTTTTGCATGCCTATTTTATGCAGCGTTGTTATCACTATGTTGGCGTACGGACTATGACATCGAGAAAAAAATTAAGAATCTTACGAATTTATCGTCTAGACCCATTAAGTACCTGTCATTGAAATAATCAGCTATAACTTATTATGTAGGCTTTTTCAGCAGGGAAGGAATTATGCACATTTTCTGTGGAGTTGTCCATGATGTTTTTGTAACCCACGGCCCAGCACGAGGGTGAGAAAGGAAATGGTAAAACGACTTCGCCTTTGCTACTATCGGTTTTTACGATTTCCCACTTTATCCCGCTAGTCGCGTAAGCTGTTCGATTATAGTGCGCCTCCTCCTCAAAGGACCGGCGTCGTTGCTATTCTGGATTCTAAGGGGCCGGGCATACTTCACGCGATTTCAGTCGCGACGCGATTTGGCAATTCGCCAGAAGTCTTCATATCCAACGCCAGCATTCCGCACATGCATAGTGTGTTTAACTTACGTGGATTGATAAAGTGCCCTATCCTCTGTACATTTAAAATGTGCTTACAGTGAGTTATGGACAGTTGGAATATTGCCAAGTCGCGTCGCGACTGAAATCGCGTGAAGTATGCCCGGCCCTTAACAGGGAGGAGACGAGAAGATTTTTAACCAAAACCTTACTATATACTAAACTTTAGGTGTAGAACAGATTTATGTAAAAATTTTGTAAAGCTTATGTGAAATGAAAGTTTTTTCTATCTCAGATAGGCATTAGCTGGGCACTTGCCACTTAATTTGAAAAGGAATTGAGCACACTCTTTATTCATATAAGTTTGCATAATTTTTGAAACTTTCCTGCCCTACTGCACGTGACACCAAACCTTACCATACCGTCTCTGTGCTTTGCGAAGCCATTTTATCATCTTGGGGTAGTGATTTCCAGAGAAAAAGCTTGCCACAACCTTCAATCAAAAAATTCTCTCACAATACTCTGCACTATGCTCCTCCAGTCCATGTCCGTTTATACTCCAAATTCTCAGTCTATCTTTTGTGTGCGCTGTAACCGAAACATTCAATTACATTTCATTGGAAGAAAAAATGGTTTCTTCAGATGACGCGCGAGTAAGGTCGTGTTTTTGCACGTCAGCCGTGTAGCAACTTGTCGAGAGAATGTATACACACGCAAATGGATATTCGCGATCTCTTCTTTGCTTTCTATCCAAAACGCTCCCAGCTTGACATTTACCCCTGGTGCCGGGTCCTGCTTTAACCATATAGCACTTTTATTATATAGATCTTGGAGTGGAACGTGCACAGCGCATTTCCACAGAAAATTGAACAATCATTTTCCAATCTTGACTATTTCCATATGTTCGAAGTCATTTTGCATGGTTACATGGTTTGTCCAAGCTGCTTGTCAATCAAACCCATAGTATCACCTTTAATTTTGGTTCTGCTTACAAAAGGAGAATTTGAATTCCAAACAACCCTTGAACTTTTTCCATTCTCTAGAAGTAACTGATAACAGCAGAACTGAAGAAATAAGTACGTGCAATATGACCTAAACACCTGCTGAGGTGATAAAAGTGCCATAATAACGTTTACTCCGTTAGAAAAACAAGCGTGAACATGCATGATATCACGCTTATCCTTATCAGTCGTAATCTCAAAATAATCTTTGCTCAAAGATCCATTCGAAAAAGAACCCAAGACAAGTGTACTGGAAGAGCTTTATAGTCAAAGAAGACAAAAAAACATTTCATTGAAGACAAAAAAAACATTTCATTGAAATCTTGCATGTTTTTGTGTAATTCTGTACTGAAAAAAGATTGTGCGGGTCGCGTTTAAGACGATTACAATTGATCCTTAGTGTGCACAGCTGTATTCTCGCTTTGGAAATGTGCGAACTGAACCCAGAGGTTTTTCGGGCAAGGGGAGAAAACGATTCAATTAAAAAGGCGTAAGAAATTTGCAAATAGGTTCTAAAATAATAGGACTAAAATTCGAGAAATGAACGTAAATAGTAAAGTGAAAAAACAGTAACAAATAATAGGTAAAATATTAACAGTAAAAATCTGCGATCCAAACTGAGAAATCCTAAAAAGGTGTGATGGCGATTATGTTTTCGAACAATTTTTTCATAGAGCCGTGAACATTTATGTATTAGGTTGTGCCGAAAGTTCGTTCGCACCAATTTCAAAAATTCATAACTCTTTAAATTCTTAACGAATTTGTACGACCAAAATTTTGCTTAAAAGAGGAACTCACGCTCTTCGCATTTGTGCCTGAACTGTTCGTTAATGTATACAAACGAAGGAGATAGAAGCTCAAAACCAAAATCACTCAAAATTTGAATTTTTCGTGTAGGGTCATAAAAAATCGGAAACTTGCAGCAAAAATCGGAGCAGTCGGTAAGGTTTTTTCACCAGCTCTTTCTAACAGTGCAAAGTTTGCGCTGGTTGAACGTTTCTATGAAAAGTTGTGATTTCCCTAAAAAATGCCAAAATAAATCAAAATCGCCCCTTTCTACTGATTGCTCGAAAATCAGATGTGAACCTTGTAATCAGCAGGTCAGATAACCTCTCTGTACAAATTTTCCATGTGTTCTCGTCTTGAAACCTGGGCATCTTCTACTGTAAGTTTAGTGTTTTGATATTTCTTATGCCACACAGTGGTGATGAGTGATGCAAAATTTGTACAGAGAGTGTTTTGATATTTCTTATGCCACATAGAGTGATGTCCGTCACACTGATCTAGTGCGGACCACTGACTCTTTCGTGGACCGAAGACCTCTGACAAAGACGAGTTGCTCGAAACGTTAGGTCGATAAAGATCCACCATACCAACCTGTGTGGCATAAGAAATATCAAACCACTCTCTGTACAAATTTTTCCGAGAAATAGAGTCACTTGACCTTCGTTCCTCACTCTCGACCTCGTTGCAGGTTTTGGCTGGGATATTTGTGTTATTGAACTGACCGGATCACTCACAATGGCTTTTGGACCCGCTGTTCAGTTATAGGGGCCTGCATGATCGCGAGAGTCGGACGTGCGTACGGCCATTGCGCCGCTCACGTTTGATTTCCGTCTCACGACTCAGGTGGATGCCAGACTTGCCCTGTTGACATTTCATTCGGTTCCCCCCCCCTGCTATCGGTCAGTGCATGATTTGATCAAGAGCGAGTCATTGTTGAACAAGGTAAGTCTAGCACCTGCCTCAGTGACATCGGACGTGCGCAGTTCGACGCAGCGCAATGGCCGTGCGTACGTCCGATGTCCGTCTCACGACTCAGGTAGGTGCCAGATTTACCCTGTTCAGTGGGTTCATTCGGTTCACCCCCTCTGCTATCGGTCAGTGCATCGATTTGATCATTAGCGGGTGAGTGAACCGGACAAGCCGGTTGAACGGGATAAGTCTGGCTTCTGCCTCGGTATCGGACGAGCGCGGCGCAATGGCCGTGCGCACGTCCGACTCCCGCGATCATTCAGGCCCTTATAGTTATCTTGCATTAAAGAGTTTGCAGCAGAGCTATAGTGAGAGAGAATTGAGCAAACCGCGAAAGATCGCATGACTTTTCACTGATCTTTCTAAGAACTTGCCTGTATTTTTTTACACGTGCTCGGCAGATTTTCGACTCAAAGTTTTCTTGCTTACCTGGGATAATTCAAGGCGCTGATTCCGAAAATCCACCTTGAAGAGCGCGAAAATGGCAGCAATCACCATTTCCGATTCTCCCATTTTGAATTTGTACGAGTGGAGCACGTCCGACCATGATTAGAGAGGCAAAATCGCACCCTCGTAGTTATAACATTGCGGCATGCCTTCTCGGACGGGTCAGGGAGAATGGCAAGCTCGTCCGCGCGATTACTACTCAGACAAACACCGAAACTTCCGCAGGACAAGCCAAACTTCAGAAGTTCCGCGGAATTTTGTTCACTATTGCAAAAATGAAAACGTTGAAAGTCGGAACTTCCGAGGGATTTTCATGCTGAACTGGTTGAAAAGCGGAACTTCCGCAGAACCTTATTCAAAATCCTGCGGAAATTCCGAAAAATGCCAGAAATTCCGCAGCACTTTGGCCTGCCAGAACTTCCGCAGGACTTTGAATGTGTTGTCTCGTGATGTTGCCTCGCCAACAACTAGAGTGCATTATCGAACAGCCGTGGCGTAGAGGTTAGTAGGTGGGTCTCACAGTCAATAGAGTGAGGTTCAAATCTCGCTTCGATGTTCTCTTTTGCTGCTTTGGTTGGCATTCTTCGGAACTTCCGCAGGACCTCATTTCGGAACTTCCGCAGCACGTCTACGGAACTTCCGCAGGTGACCCGGCGGAACTTCCGCAAGCGCTCTGCGGAAGTTCCGGTCATTTGTCTGAGTTAGGTTGTTACATAAGTCTTGTTACACTTTAATTTCTTACGACGATAAGTCGTGAACTTCATAATTTTAATAGGGCTTCAGGGTACCATCCGATAGAGCAAAGCAAGCTCTACAAGATAGTATGCAAAAGTTCGCACCAATTCCGATCCAGCTAAGTTTGCATTCAAAATCTGATTCGCACTGATGGCTCAAAAATTGCGAAAAATTCATATCTTTGTTCAAAAAAATCCTACGAATCGCCATCCTGCTCACAAAAATTGCCCACTATATTAGACACTCCTGTGTACCGTTCCTGTATTTTTTCTTCATCTAAAAATCGAGAAATGGAAAATAGTTTTTACAAAAGCGAAGCTATGTTATTTCTATTTATGTAGCTGTACACTACAAGCTTTTAGAAGTATAACCGTATTTCAGCTTTCTAGAAGGCCTAGTTTTCGAAAAATACCAAATTTAGCATCTCTCACTCGAGTGTTCAAAGCTAAATTAGGTAATTCTCGAGAACTAGAGCTTGGAGAGCTGAAAATTTACGGTTAAACTTCTAAGGGCTTGTAGTGTACTACATAAATAGAAACAACAAAGCTTGTTTTTGTAGAAGCCAAAAAAATTTCCTTTTCTCGCTTTCATGAGGAAAAAGTACAGCAACGGTACATATGAGTGTATGATATAGTGGACAATTTTTGTGAGCAAATTGGAGATTCGCAGGA